ATATATATATATATATATATATATATATATATATATATATATATATAAATTTAAGGTGAATACAAGGTAGTATATATACAAAGACTTTCAACTATTTGACATACTCCTACATACACAGTGCTTGAACCCGAGATCTCAATGATAACAACAATCCCTTAATCACTAAGATCACTTGGTTTATGCTGAATTTCGAGTTGAAATACCTAATAAGTCTTTATATTTTTCTCAAATAGTCTAAAATTTCGACATCTATCAATATTTAATTCTGATTCCGTCTCAGCGTTTAGGTTATGTTCGATGAGCGCATAATACAATTACGGATAGATTGTTGTCTTTGTCTCGAGACTCACCGTTGTGAGAACTCCGTTTTGCAGTCCCACCAGATCAAGTACTGAAACACCTTCAATTAGATCAACAACATAGTGTTATAGAAGAAATATTGTAATGCTTTGTTCAATTTAAGCAAAGAAAAAAAAAACTCGCTTGTTTGAACATGTTTAAATGTATATCAATTTTGTTGCCCTATTTAAGGTTTAGAATTTAGGGTTTAGGGTTTAAGATATAAGGTATAGATGTTATTATTAAAGTTTAGGATTTAAGATTTAGATCGTTATGATTAGAGTTTAGATTTTAAGATTTAAAATTTAGATGGTATGCAAGGACAAACTACTTAGGAGGATTGTTGCCCCCTCCCAAAATATTTGGTATAATGACATTTTAGGTCTTTTTTAATTTAAATACTAGTCAAATAATGCATCGTCCTTCCCATTTTTTAAATTTAAATACTTAATAGATTCTTGTTATTTTGATATAAAATCATTTATCCATTCAATATTTGATTCTAGCTTTATCCTTTACGATACGATTAGAATTTAAGATTAACACGAATAAGGTTATGCAATTTAAATTGTATTAAATATTTTTCATTAATATCATATTCGAATCGTGTAATCGTATTTGGTGAGATATTACTAGAGGGAAACGGCTGGCGCCTATCGGGACATTTAATGGGAACACCGTGGTGGCCATTGGAGTTGCTGGACGTCTACCGGGCAATTACTCGCATGTTAGGGTTGCTATTGCCTCAGCAACACCACGTGCTCGGCCATGGCCTGTCTGTCTGTGTAGACCTCTAAATTATATGGACCCCATTTATATTGTAATATCGAATATATATCATAACATTAATAAATGTAATTGTATACGTAACGAACATGATCATAAATATTTGAGATAAATGTTATAACGAACAAGAACAATATTAAAACTCGAAGATAATAATAGTATCGTCATGTCGAGACGATGACAATTTAAATCCCATGGCTAGAGAGCATGGTCTTGTTGCTTTGAGGACCATGTTTGAATGCCGATACCTTAAGTTAACAAAAACTGATCCATTGGCACTCGTTTTGTCTAAATATATATATATATATATATATATATACATAAATATTTCGAACAAAACATAAATGTGTAATTTCGATTTATGTTCTCATGATTCAATGGTTTCGATCATGTTACGATGAAATGATCAATTAATATATGTGTTTATACGTGTATTTTGTTCCATATATGTATCTCTTAAGGTTACAAAACCTATGGATAGTTAAACAAAATAATTTTAATTTATATTATCATGACACAAATATACCAAAGAAATAAAAGAGAAGAAATTTTACTAATATCGAAAAATAAGAATACAGAAGAATTTATAGCTTTGCACGACCCGACTCAATCGAATTAACTTGTAACACTAATGATGTATAGAAAATAAACCCAACAAATAATGCCAAATCAAAAGGATGATTGTAACCACCCCATGTGTGTAGATTCCTGGGTTGAATTCTTGCTTAAAAAACTGGCTAAAATACACCATCATTGCTGATCGGAATTGAGGGTTAAAGTTTCTACAAGCACGTGAATCCTTGCACCCAAAAAGTGCTTAACCTTTTCCCTATTCCACTCCATTTGATTATGGATAAGGTTTGAAGATGAGTCCCAATACGTTCAAATTTCAAAAAAAGAAAGTTAAAAAAAGAATTTATATTTAAAAATGCGTTCTTTATGATACAAGATGATATTTGTTCAGAATTTTTTCTAACCATTAACGATGCATGTATACCTTACTGACGTTCAGTATAAACGATAGCAGATTCTAACCATTAAATCCGTAGAATTTGATGACAATTAACCAATTGAATGGTCTACCTTTCATTATGTGCATGGGCCATTTCTTTATTGGAAATCATCAAGCAAGATCTCCCAAATCCAACCAAGTGGTGAGTAATCAAGGATTTATTCACTTTCTATGGATTTAGAGTGTAATTATTGTTGATGAAAGATTTGAGTTCGAATAATATTTTTTTATTTGTAAATTCGTAAAATTATATATAATTTAAGGTATTATATAAAATAGTCGAGTTATTATTCTACGCAGTATATATATATATACAACATTTGACATATTTAAATGATATTAAATTTCGTTTCTGAAATATTTTTTTCACCGTCAATATAAAAGGTAATAAGCTAAATAATTTTTTTAATTTCAAGTTATACTTTTATTCGGGAATTTAAGTTAACATTTTATTTCTTTACTTATTTTTCAAATCTAAACAATAATTGAACCAACTTAATCAAACACTAATCTCTTCATGGCATATTCTTAATTATATATTAAAGAGTTATAGTCAACATGGTTGGTTGCAGGTACATATAATTATGATGGACAGTTAGTTTTATTTATATTCATACTAAAAGTCATAAGTAAACAATGCTTCCACTATGATTAAGTGTGCTTTAGAAGAATAATAATTGGTGTATTATGAGAAAAAAAAACTTAGGACCTTGTTTAGGGCACAAAGTCTTCGAATGCCATTATAAAAGGTGGTTTTCACGTTTCTTTTATAATCCCTTATATTTAATTTAACGGTTAATTACTATAGATTATGTATTATAGAGTCCTATTATAGACATGAATGGACTGATGGGAAGCGGATGGGGACAGTTGCCTCTTTAAGTTTTCTTATATTTTAGATTTTTTATATTTCCACCGATAATCTATTTTCGTCCTCTAAAATTTTATAAATTATCCATTCCTGATTATAAGGATGATCTTCTCACATATTACATATCGTATTAATTGAATTTCGTAATTAATTTTGTGATTTATCTCATAAAATGACTAACTAATCTTAACCACATATTCCAATTCGACAGTGTATTTTTTTGGCGAATTAAGTCAACATGATTAGAAGCTACAATTTAAGAGAAAGCAACCTAAAACCAACCACAAAAACTATACTTGTCAAACTTAATAATATCAACCTTTAATAATAATAAATAGGGATTTCTTTTTTTTTTCTTTGTTATTATACAAAAAGTATAACATTAAGATAAAAAAATAGTTATAGATATTAAAATCCAAATCCAATTTTACTTTTAAGCGAATATAATAATTAAATGGAGTGTTGCTTTCTCTAAAGGTCTCGGATTCAAGCAGTTGTGTCTGTAGTGTTAGTGCATTGTCGATGACTAAACAAGATTATGAACATATAAATACTTCATAATTATCCCAAACTATTCAAAAACATTTACTTTAAGAAATATTTATTATAAGAAAAAAATAAAGAATTAAAAGAAGAGATACCCAATAAATAAATGTTCGAACTAGTTACCATTTTTATTTAAGTGTCTAATATTTTTTTGTCAAAATAAACCCCTAACATTTCATTATGTTATCATTTTAAAGAGGACAATCAACTAGTGAAAGTTCAATGATTGAAAGGGTAAACATTCATTGAGAGGGTAAACAATAATGATTTACTCAAATTTTTTAGGGTAAATTTCATATTTAGTATCTAAATTATTACTTTTATTTTATTTTGGTATTCAACTTTTATTTTATTTTAAAATCATACATAATATTTAGTTCATGTTTCAATTTAGTACATCGTCGTTAAAAATTTAACAGAACTACTGACATGGCTTTTTCTCAATGATGATGTGACGTTATCTTATGGTGACGTTACCTTATGGTGACGCATCAACATCATCAATAAGTTTTTAAGGGTGGGGTACCAAAATGAAACATAAACTAAAGGGTAAGTATGGTTTTGAAACAAAATAAAGTTTGGGTACCAAAACAGAACAAAATTAATTATTTAGGTACTAAATGTGTAGTTTACCCAAAATTTTAAACACCTAAAATAAAAAAAATATTGTTTAATTAAGCTAAAAATAAGAATAATCGACATTATGTTTGAGAATTGGAAAAGTAAATGTTCCATATCATCATCATCATCATTGCATTTTATATTTAAATCAAGCATAGGATCTTTGATCTTAATGGAGAAGCTTTGATGAATTATGCACTTTGCAGTTTGAAAATGAAAATGGGAAGATAATTATTATGATGAGAAGATACAAGAGACAATAAATGTGGAATACGAGTATATATAATCGAAATAATAACATACAATAAAGAAAATGTTCCAATGCTGTTATCAAGTTGAAAAAAGTTGTAGGCACTATTGCAAGACAATGCAGGAAGCAAAAATCACGGCCATGTCGTTATTTTCAAGTTAAGTCGCATCCAATTCTATTAAGTGTTATTCTATTATATTAAAATTTTATTTTAGTCCTTTTTATTATTTAAACATGTATTTTAAATATGTTATTTCCATAAAAACAAGATCTAACTCGTTTTTGATAAAAATATTTTAAATTTCGGAATTCGATAAAAAAAAGTTTAATTTAATCAAGCCATGGTGGAGTTTTTAATGGTAGAAAGGACCACTATGGCTAGGCCCCCCTCCCCGACCAAATGGTCACAATTTCCACTTGGCCTTGTCCCTTAGAACATGGAGTAAATAATGGAACCTATCAGCTAAACTCCAAAGCCCTTTTTCTTTCAGGTTTAAACATTAAAGCTACCTCTCATGCACATACCAAACATGTCCATACACTTCTTGTCCCAACAAAAACTATCAATCCCAAGGAAGAAAACTTTGGCAATATCAAATCCAACTATAAAAGAACATCCTTAACATACCATCAACACTTTGTTTTGTAACTTGGAAGAAAGAAACAAGAGTTGACTCCATATCCTTGTTCAACCTTCAAGCAAAGGAAAATGGAAATCGAATCGGTTAGATGCGAGTGTTGTGGACTGAAAGAAGATTGCACCCAAGATTACATCAACGATGTTAAGGCCAAATTCGACGGGAAATGGCTCTGCGGGTTATGCTCGGAAGCTGTTAGAGATGAAGTGAGTAGGAGCAAGAAGAAGCAATTCGGTGTCGAAGAAGCCGTCGAAGCTCACATGTCGTTTTGTGGCAAATTCAGATCGAATCCCGCGGTTCGAGTAGCCGACGGTATGAGGCAGTTGCTGAGAAGGTCAGGAGATAATTCACCTTCTTCTTCTAAGAAGTTAACAAGATCAGCTACCACAAAACTGTACTAATTGCCATTACAAAAAGTGAAGAAAGATGAAAGGGAGGAAAGGCCTTTACCTCCTTAGATGGAATAATATTGGTAGCTTTACCTTTTACAACTTGTCTTGTGCAGGTGAATGTTATTTCAATGAAGGCTTCTTCCTCTGTTTTTCTTTTCTTTCCTTGCCTCAAAGATCTTAACTTCGATTCGAACATATTTGTTTTTCCCCTGCATTAGGCGATCGATGTAAACGGATGCAACACTAGTTATCACAATTTGTATCATCAAAGAACACCTTCATATGTTTCTTGAAAAACGTCTTAGAAAAATCTTCAATAACCAAATTTAAGCATCCTAAGCAGGCATCCTTAACCAGTTAGGGAACTAATTTGATCATGTTCCGTGTGATACTCAACGAGTTATCGATATATCGGCCTTATAATTGGTTTTTAGATGTGCCATATGCCTAATCTTATCGGTCAACCGATGACATCTGGGATCAGATTCTACATATGCAGTGAAATAAGCAACAGATCTTGTCCCTGACAACAATCTCCCTCCCATGTACCTTTTAAACTGACTTCACATAGTTATGGATGTCCTGACATTTCTCAGGCTTTTCATTTTTCTTGAATTACCGTTGTCCTACTTGTGGATATGAAAATATGACCTCCAAAGATCCTCCATATTCATGGAAAAAGTAAAAAATAAATGACAATATCCATGACAGACACATACTATGCAATACTCAAACCCTGAGTCCAAGTAACACAGGTTTCCCTCATTGATGAGAGCATAAGGAAGTACTAATTTCTCACTATGCAATATAACATCCTTTTTTTTCTTCCTCTTCTAAATTATCCAGCAAATTCCTTTTTTTTCTTGTTCTTCTAAATCATTATTTTTCATTTAAATAGGTGTTGTTCTTACAGTATCGATACCCTTTGAATATTATAAAGAAATATGGGTATTTTAGGCTTAGGGTATCGATCATGTGGTATCGGTACCATACATCTGATACCAATATCGATGGCCGGGTATCGATACCGTACATCTGATAGCAATGTCGATGGCCGGGTATCGATACTAACAACTTCCTGCGACAGACACATACTATCCAATACTCGCACCCTGAGTCTAAGCAAACACAGGTTTCCCTCATTGATGAGAACATAAGGAAGTACTAATTTCTCACTATGCCATAGAGCAACATCCTTTTTTTCTTTCTCTCCTAAATCATCCAGCAAACTATGGGTATTAGGAGCATAAACCTAGCAGCTTCAACTCGATAACCAGCTCATCCAACTTTTAACAAAACTCGTCTGCCTGTTTCAGTTAGTATCTGCAACTCATTTCGATTCTATCCTACTGCATGCCTTTTCCTTGGATATTGCCCCTTCGGCATAAATGTTTAGTAATACCACAAGAGCGCCATAACAGTTTGCTCCTAATTCAGTCTCACCATGAATTTGATAAGCAGCCATTTGGGATCTCCAAATGACAACATTAGGTGCCAAAGGCAGTTTCAGTACAATCTCAACAACTACACTCAAGAGATTAGAACGGAAGAGACGATTGACAATGCATGCAGCTGTAAGTTCAGGTTTAGGAGGAATCATGGGTGCAAAAATATGAGCATGGCTACAAGCATAGAAGCACACTCACAAATGAACTCAACATGGGCCCCTCTCATTTAATGAAAGAAGCCTAGAGCATTATTGGCATCCCCATGTATGCCAAGTGCATGTTGAGCATACTAGTCCAAGATAATACATTTCTTGTCATGTTCTCAAAAATTTCTATCCCTATTTCTCAACTCCCACATTTATCACACATATCAATGAGTATTATCAATAGGCAAAGCGCCTCCAAAACCGTTCATATCAACACATAAATGTATCCATCTGGTTATCTAGTACAGCAAGATGCACATAAACTGGTATATCACTCAGAAAATTTACCTGATCAGTTTTATTCCTATAGCTTGATAACTCTCAACATAACTAGAGGCAGAGATCATTGCACTCCAAGACACCGAGCCCTTTTTCAGTACTCAACTCGTTTGCATCGAATACCTCGGAATCGTTACAATCAAGTTCTTCGGTGTCACGTGATCAAACAATTGCTGAGCCATATCCATGCGACCACAAGTTGCATACATAGCCATAACAGCACTATCATTTTTGAATAATGCAGTCATGTACTTCTTTCCCATAATTTAGATTCCCTGCACGATAACAAGCCGAAAGAAAACTGGAAAGAATAAACTTATCCGCCTCGATATTAACCCTGTTCATCCCAAAAAGCTCCAATCATCTACATTGATTAAAGAAAGGGGTTGTATCTAATGCACTGTATACTTTAGAATAAGTTGCAGAACATAACAGTAACAAGTGCTTAACAAAATACCATATCATAATCAATTGAAACTGAATAAACATCAAAACACAAATTTTCTTGAGAAAAAAGAGAGAAATTATATCTTTCACTATAAACAAAATCTTTATTCAACATTTGATTACTCAAAACCAATATCTAAATTGCACCAAAGCAGTATCCCTTCCTCTCTTCGGTTTTGTATTAAAAAATATATCATTTATAGTGAACTTTTTTTTAAAAAGTACAAGCAAAAACCATAAGCATTTATCATAGTACTCAGTCCAGGCAACAATATTCCCGAACAGACAATCTATCAAACACCAATCAGACATTTTGATATTATTTTTTTATCAATGCAAATCAACGAGTTCAACCCATGGCCTCACTTAAGATGCAAATCATTATTTTTGTTGCATCTCCTCCAGATTTATTCCGTAAATCACAGCTCTATTATCAATTTTACGACTGTCGTGGCCTTCGGAATTTCAAGAAGCATTCGAAGTTTGATACACTCTGGACGGCTACATTCCCTTGAGAAAATTATTGACCGATTACATAATCTATCAAAATCAAATCTATTATTTCACAATCAAATTTATTTAAACTGTCAACTCACAAATATCAGCACATCCAAACTGAACTCTACATATATATATACAAAACTACAACTCTACTAAATTTTGCTACTCCATGTCAAATTATTAAAAGAGAACAAAATTCATTAATTATTGAAATCAGGCAAAGATGAACAAAATCTCCTCGACAATTAAGCTAATAATCATAATATATGCGGACTAAGATCAAGATAAATTTGGAAATAGATTTAAACCTCAAAGCTCCAGAAATCTACTTCTTATTCTTAGATCAAGATTTTATCAATTAAATTCGATAATTTTAAAAATAATATAATAAATTAACGTATGATATAAAACATATATATATATATATAGTTTTATTTTATTATGGTTTTATAATGAAACCGTATCTCATCACATTTCTTGGAAGGATCATGGCACCTTCATCCCCTGTCCCTGTTTGCGAAAGTTTCTGAATCCTTCTACAATGTACGGAATGTTTCCGACTTTAAAGTTAAATTACATTTTTAACATTTTTTAATATCTTATACGTTTATTTTATAATATATATTCAAAATTTCAAACTTATTTTTTAATAATAATATCTCTACTTTAATTTTTATTTTTAAAGTGCAATATAGTTAATCTAAACTAAACACCACACTTGTTAATATTTAATTACTAATATAATTCTGAAGAGAGACATTTTAAAAAAATATATAACATAAAAAATAATATACCGATATATATTTTTAAATTAATTATATGATTGACATTTGACATAAAGGGTCGACTTTCTTTTTAGAAAATAATGTTTGGATATTTTTTTTATTTACAAAACTGAGTTAGATTCAAAATTAGGATAAAAATATTTTTTCGACTCGAGAAAATTAACATACTTACATTTTATTTTTAAAGATAATTGTTAAAATACATGTGTTTATATTTTTTAATTAGGTTTCTATTTCACCTAACAACATTATATATGTGTGTGTCTCGGGTCAAGTATATGTTTGTATCTTAAAAATTAAATTATATTTTATGTCGAATAAATTTTTTTTAAAATTTAAATCGAATTAGATATAGAATAAAGAAATATAATGTTCGAAATAGATTCAAATAAATCAAAAACTCAATCAGGCCCTAACTATAACCCTCCCTAATCACAAGTCAAGTGTTGTTCGCTAAATTTAAATTTAAATTAATACAACAATAAATATAATTCTTAGTATTAAATATTAACTACAAAGGAAATAAAAGGAGGTGGATTGATTTGTAAATTTCATAGAATTAAAGGACCTTTAACCAAAACCTAATCTCGTTATATTCTTATTTTCCACCTATAATTTATCCAATGGCTCTTAATTTTCCTGCAAATCCTTAAATAAAAAGGCAATTTATGAGTTTTTGGAACAATTATTTTCCCAGTGCTTGCAAAAAGGTGTCCAATTCACCCGAAATCCAGTTACCCTTTTGAACACTCAATCTCGAAGAACAAAATTTTCTCACTATCTTTCCTTGTATCTCACTCAGTTTTCTCTAATAGCCCTTTTAAGGGATTTGTCAACATCTTTCCAAAAGAATTCTGAAGAATCAAAACCATTGCTTTTTATGATTTCACCTTTTCCACTCCACAACTTGATCAGGATTTTGATTCCTTTCCGAATTTCTTCACTTTTCTCCAAGAAAGCATCTTTGTCGTCGTTGTTGTTACTATTAATCTTGTTCCTAGCTTCGTCCTTTGCTTCCACTTCTTCACGATTCACCTCCAGAAGGTCAAATCTTTGTGAGAAAAGCCGGAGACCCGAATCTCGAATTCCCTCAAACAGCACCATGAGAATCCACCCGTTGCCGAAGACGAGGAACATCACCATCCAATATGAGATGAACCCGAGAACCTTAAGGTCCCAAGCTGAGTCCCTGTTGAACGGTGGTGGGTCTAACAAGAAGCTCCGTAGGCTGCCCCACATCTTCAGCCGCGTCCTCGAGCTGCCTTTCAGGTCCGATGCCGATGTGGCTGTGGAGGAGAGCCCCGATTGCTATAAGTTCGTTGCCGAGACCGACGGGAGGATCGGAGAAGTCGTCAGGGCTCATACAGTGGAAATCCATCCTGGGGTCACTAAGATTGTGATAAGGTCCAATAGCTTGATGGATTTCGGTTTGCTGGATGATTTGGAGCTCGACGTGTGGCGGTTCAGGTTGCCGGAGACGACGCGGCCTGAGCTGGCCAGTGCGGTTTACGAGGACGGCGAGCTGATTGTGACGGTGCCGAAAGGAGGGGAAGTGGAGAATTTGGAGGAAGATGGTGGCGGAGGTGAAGGAAATGGGGAGTTTAGAGGAGGCATTGGAAATGATAATAGCAATAATAATAGGCTTGTTCTTGTACAGTGAGTAATAACAATGGCATCATTTGCTCTGTTTTCTTTTTCTTTCTTCTTCAATTGCGTGTTGTTTTCATTTTAGTTTTTGAAGGTCATGGTGGAGCTTAGTCCCTTTTTTTGTATGGTTACCTTTTATTATTACTTAATCAAATCAAGAATTGTTCTTCTCCAAATGATTGGCATGATGACTATTATTGTTTGACATTGTTTTTTAGGCATGATTTTGATGATCCCTTTGGTGTTTAGTTGTTCTTATGCTTTTGTTTGTGTGTATCAAGGTTGCTTATGGTGCATTTTTTTTATTAGGACAGGAAAGGTCTAAGATTTTGATATGTTCATGGAAAAGTACATGCTTTGCATTCGTTCTCGACTATGCAAAAAATGATCATGGACATGCTCATGTGTGTTCTTTGCTAATTTTTGTTTTAGTTTCCATGGAATTGAGAATTGGCAGACTGATAGACATATGTTCTTGATTGAAGTTGGGTTCTTTTCTTTTCTCATCCCATATTTAGGCATACGGGAAGCTATGAAAGGCCTCCTTTAGGTACAGACCATGAGATATGCTGAGCGGCATATTTGATATCAGTGTTTTGGGTATGTTTTTTGTTTACATCATATGCATTACAAGGTAGTGATTACCTAAATTATTGCATTACCGTCTTCGTCTTGGAGATTCGTGGCCTTGTACATGCCTGCATTTTCTTGTTTAGAATCAGTTCCCTTTCTCACTTTGAGGAAAAGAATCTCTGCTCTTAGTCCACATGGTCTTTTATTCATTCATTCTTGCATACATTCTTTTCATATTATGACCAGTCTTTTTGTTAATATCTTTCTTTCTATAAAGTAATCTTAAAGAAACTCCATTGTTGATTCATAATGTCAAATAGCTATCAGTCATGCTTTTTGGTTATCAATCCATTGATCCAAAAAGACAATTGGGACATCTTTTTCTCCTTTTGGGTTGTCATTATCTGCTTCACATTGATTCATACCAAGGCAAAAATGATGTTTAAACCCAGTTTGTCCATCAATGTTCTGCATCACCAGTTGCCGAACCCACACTCTCATCTTAATCTACCTCGATACGTTTCAAAAATAGTTCATATCATGCATATCATCTTCTTCATCTTCCCAAGGTGACATAAACTTCATCTTTGTAGCCTCCCACTGAAAGGTCAGTTTCAATCATATGATTCCTATGTTATGTATTTTAACACAATTCTAATTGAATTTAGTATAACGAGTCGAATGGCACGAACTAAGTATATAAAGGTCAAACACAGATTATAATAAGTTCATGATCACTTTATACCAATTCTAAAGTAAGTTAAAATACAAACAATAAATGATTGTATCAGTTTGGGTTCCAACACTCCCCCATTGATGAAGCACTACAAAATAGCAGTTTCATAATCATACAACCTTAGCAGACAATGACATTGTTATTTTTCAAAGGGAAAACCCTTTTAGAGGAGCAAATCTAGCAAGTATTTCGGCCTCACGCCTTACTCCACTTTCCTTCTTTAGCTCCCATTCTGGTTTTCTGGCGTTAGCGAGTTGAACTTCGTGTACAACTTTCGGGATCGAATTTGCCACCAGCTTTTGGTTGTGTATCAATTCATCCTTGTCTCTCTTCTTCTTATCTATCAGCTTCATGACCTCGGCACGACGAGCATCAAGTTGTGCTATCTGATCGTCGATGTTTTGCACGGCCATTGTGGTGGAATTTACCTCGGACTCTAGATTTGTTACCACTTGATTTATCTCACAATATTCTTGTTTCAGTGAGGCAACCTTGGCCTTGTTTTCCTTAAGGGTTCTAAAGAACTGATCTGCCTGCTCCATTACTTCCCTATTCTCGAGGAACACTATGCCAAATGTTGGAATCTCTTCAATTAACTTCAGTTTTACAAGTTGTTCTGCAGTAAGGGTAGGATCCTTCTGGAGTTTGGACGCAAGACTCGCGAGTTCGTCAACGTCTTTGAAGCAAATCAATGAAGGAAAATCCATATTGAGAAATGACGATAGTTTCCTTTGAGCTTCAGCCATTTCGACTTCTGCTGCAAAGAAGTTGTGCATTGTTGCCGGCTGGTAAAATGGTTCTTGAAACCAAGGCTGAACAAGAATCTCATCCAATGAATTGAGGTAGTTGTCGAACTCCGCTGCAACCATTTCAAAAGGCAAGTGAAAGGAAGAAACAAAACAACATTTTCGAGAAAATGTAAACATTACAAATTCTAACCTCTTCCCATTTCATTGTCTAAGAAAGACAAGTCGAGACCATCATTTGTATCTTGAATTTCAGATTGGAGTGGGGTGGAATCTTTAAGTTGCTGGTGAGCCTGTGGCTTAGGTCCGGCAAATCCTTCAGTTGTCTTCTGCATCCTTTTACTGTCGCTGGAACTCGGAGTACTTAATGGGGAAGTGTGGGGAGCCCTCTTCCTTTCGGTTGCATGGGGAATCTTCTTGTTAATTTGTTTTTTATCATCTCCCATTCCTTGTTCTGGTACATAAGGTGTGGGAGCTGGCATTCATCACATAAAAAGAAAAGAAGTATTTTCATTAAATAATCAAGAGAAAACGAACATCATGTAACTTCAAACTTCCCAGAAGAGTGAAGAATTATGTTTAATAGACAAAAAATAAGATATCTGAATGAATGTATCATGGACTACTATTTCAACAGTTTCCCTATCCCTGGATGAAACAAGAATGAGGTGCATTGGATCGACTTGGATAATTGCACATCATCTCAAACTTGACACGATGAAATGTTTACTGATTCCTTGTGAAGGAAGGTATTCAAGCGTGCATTACATCAGGTCAACTTAGTTGGGAAACGAATTTTAGTCTAAATTAACAAGATTAAATGCAGAAGCAAAATAGACCGCAAGAAAATAGTTCTGCTAAAACGTTCTTACGTCCTTGGTCACACTACTATGCCTTTCACTAAAAAGGGAGTTACAGAAGATATAATTTGAAAATGGCTAACCAGGACACAAAACAGGACAACTCATGTAATTACAGAATTACAATTATCTTAATTTGACAAGGACTACGTAAAATCCTCATCCTAATTGACTTCGTAAGTGCCTGACCAGCACATAGCTAGACACAAAACTATCCGCATCCGAGCAGGCACTTACTTTGACAGCCTAACTGGCACATAGCAAGACACCAATCTTAGAATTCAGGTAAGGTTTTAGATGAGCTACTAAAGTGTTACGGCAGCCAATAGAAAAAACCTCCATTTGGAAAATGCCAAGGGGACTCTCATTGCCATGAAATTTTGACATGATATTCAGTTCACCAACACTGACATAATATGAGATAAAATAACAGTAGTAGCAATAAGAAACAGATTAATTCTCAGTTCATAGGTCTTTGAGGCCTGCAATCAATGATCTTTGACTAACATATTTGATGAGGATGGCTAAATCTATGAACCTTGAACTTGGGTGCAAGTGTCGGATATGGATATGTGTCCAACACAGATATATTCATTTTTTCTAAGTTTTCAATGTACGTCAAGATATAGATCAGCCATGGATTGAAGAGACAGAGTAACATAGGGCTATAAATTATTGGCCAATATCCATGTCACTGATTAAAATACCATACTAAATATATCAACACAGTTTATCAGTAACAATTTCAGAAGCAATAAAAATACATTTTCTTCCTCGAACAGAAACAATGTAAAATGAATAGGCATGCAGTTAATCACTATGTAAGCAGAAAACAGACCTCTCACATTCAAGTTTGTGCCCAAAAGGGAGAGCATTCGATAAAGTCATGGTTTCATTTACATTTACTATGAGACAATTACCTGATGAAACAAAAGATAGGTGTTATATCATTCAAAAGTGCATGCACGTAGAAGTTCCTTTAAGAACATCAATTGAGTGTAATTACCACCGACACCCGAATGCTTTTGTAATTACACCCAATTGGTCATATAAGGATAAAAGAGGTTTGAAGATGCACAGAATGCTATAACAAGTTCCGCAACCAAGTTATAAGCAAATACAAAGGATGGAATCTAAAGATTTGACTCATTCGATTCAAATACCCCTCAAACATTCCATAATTAGATAATAAATATTATATAATCAATATGCATTCTAAATTTCTTTCTACCAAAGAAGAGAAAAGAAAGAGAAGGGTTAGAAACCAAATTTCCTCACAAGATGGATAAGGCAGTGACACAACAGCAGGAATCTTCCAAACAAACGACGCAAAGAACTCATTAACATCTGTATCTGGGAAATTCGATCGGAGAAAACGTTCAAGTGATGGCTTGCTTGAGAAGACTTTTGGAATATTTGGCTTTCGAAGACCTTTCGGAACCTTGAGAAATCTATCGCTGTAGAAGCCATAACTGTTGACCTTCCTCCCCACTCTCCAGCTCCAAACATCACCATCATTTGGCCAATGTATAGGTGCATAAGGTAATCCTTCTCCACTACTACCTGGTGGAACTCGTGGAAGGGAATTATTCTCTTTAATTACAGGAGCACAATGGCTACCTCCATTATAGATATCATTTCCTGCAAATTTGTGTTCCGGTTCACACGGAGTGGAAGCTGGTCCACCAAAATAACTGCAATTGAGACAAAATTTCTATCAATAAAACACAATCAAGCACATTTAACATACAAAGCTACATCTTCTAAACTACTTTAAAATCCATATGAACACATGATGAAGCTACTAATGTTACTCGGTTTCCGACACCAGTATTTTGGAGGGTTATATCCAACACCCATATCAGAACATGCATGTCAAAATGCGTACAGGACACGGGTACTCCTAGAAAAATGAAAAACCTGAGCAACATACACCCGAGCAACTAGAAGAACACTGTTTATTGCATACATGCTCACTTTTTCTTTTTTTTTTCTTTTTTGCAAGTTTTAACAGTTTTCTTCTTCACTCCACAAACATTCTTACAAAATTCAAATTCCCATCTTTATCGGATTAAACTCGCCCAACAGCTAAATATGTAAGAAATTGAGCAAATAGGAACAATGAACATATTTCTTCTTCACTTCACAAACATTCTTACAAAATTCAAATTCCCATCTTTATCGGATTAAACTCGCCCAACAGCTAAATATGTAAGAAATTGAGCAAATAGGAACAATGAAACAACAATTGGGTGAAGAATTTAAGCTACAAAAAACACTTACTCTGGGAAGAGTTCTTGATGGATATCTATGTGCGGAATCCCCAAGTCAGTAGGGTTATCAGTATTAGCTAAAGTACCCATATGAGACGGAGAAGGAATCGGCATCATTAGGGAAAATTGCTCAGTTTTACCAGCGAAAACAGAGCACCCCAAAGATCAAAAGAAGGAAAATTTTGATCTTTTGAGAGGTTTCATGTCTGGAATTACAAGCTGACATATGTAGGATACCAGATCAGCGACTTCGAGGTTTTGTATATGTAGTTTAATCGATTTTACATAAAGCTATTACAATTTAAAGTAGATACTTATTTTTTTATTATATAAAACATTATACAACTGATTTAGAAATTAAAGTGTTTATTTAATTTAATATTGTGATTTAATTAATATCAATCTAATTAAAATTTATTTTTATTTTAAATTATAACTAATAAATTATAATATTGTTTTTCTTTTTATATTTGTATATACTATTTAAATGAAATAATTAAAAATTAAAATTTTTATTCAATAAAATTTATATATGAATTTTATCAATCTAATCATAATTATCAATAAATTAATTTTATAGTTATAAACTATATAAACATGATGGGTAGACTATATGTGTAGTATTTTAACTATCACTTTTATTTCATTTTGATCATCTAACTATTATTTTTTAAAATCATATTTAATGTTTAGCTTTAGTTTCATTTTAGTCACTCACTATTAAAAATTTAATGTTGATGTGTCACCATAAAATAATATCACGCCGTCAATGAAAAATATAAAATATCGTCAGTAGTTCTATTAAATTTTTAACTGTGGTTAACCAAAATATAACATTAAATATGATTTTGAGAAAAAAAATAATTAGATGATCAAAATGAAACAAAAATGATAGTTAAAGTATTAAATATATAATTTACATCATAAAAATATAATTTAATTATTATTTTAATAATTATGTCTTTGTACAATTACGATATGATGTCTATATTTGGGTTAAATTTTAATTAATTTATCTTAAAATTTTAAAATTTTAAAATGGCATTATGGAAGCCAAATTCAAATTGTAATAGGTTTATAGGAATTCTAGAAGAAGTTAAAGTACAAAGAGAGTAATTGATAGTGTAAGTTCTCAGCATACAGGGTTACAGGGGAACGACTCCCTATTGCTATAGCTATTTAAAGTAGCATAATCCTCAAAAGCAAATCACTACAAAATATTTCCCCTCAGCTACATCTGTAGTACTCCGATACCTATAGGTTGTTCATAGGGAAAACCCTTTCAGAGGAGCAAATTTAGCAAGTATTTCGGCCTCGCGTCGTACTCCGTTCTTCTTCTTCAGCTCCCATTCCGTTCTTTTGTTGTTAGCTGTCTGAACTTCAAGTACGACTTTCGGAATCGAGTTCGCTACCAACTTCTGGTTATATCAATTCATCCTTGTCTCTCTTCTTATCTATCAGTTTCGTTAGCTCGGCACGACGGGCTTTGAGTTCTGCTATCTGGTTGTCGATATCTTGCATGGCCGTTGTGCTGGAATCCAGCTCGGACTGTAGATTTGTTACTTCTTGTTTTAACTTGCTGTATTCTTGTTTCAGTGAACTGACCTTGGCCTTCTTGTCCTCGAGGGCTGTAAAGAACTTGTCTGCCTGCTCCATTACTCCCCGGTTCTCGAGAAACACCTCACAAAATGTTGGGATCTCTTGTATTAACTTCAGTTTCACGAGTTGTTCGGCGGTAAGGGTGGGATCCTTCCGGAGTTTGGATGCTAGACTGGCGAGTTCTTCGAAGTCTTTGAAGCAAATCAATGAAGGCAGATCCATATCGAGAAGCGAAGATAGTTTCCTTCGAGCTTCGGCCATTTCGCCTTCTGCTGCATCGATGTTATGCGTCACTGCCTGCTGGGAAAAGGGTTCTTCAGACGATGGCCGAGTCGGAACAAGAATTTCATCCAAAGAATTGAGGTAGTTGTCGAACTCCGCTGCAACCATTTCAAAAGCCAAACGAAATAAATAAGCAAACCACCATTTGCAGGAAAATGTAAATATTCCAAATTCTAACCTCTTCCCGCTTCATCGTCTAAGAAAGACACATCATCAAGACCATCGTTTGTATCTTGAATTTCAACTTGAGGCCGGGCGGAATCTTTAAGGCTCTGGCGAGTTTGTCGCTTAGGTTTGACTGATCCCTGAGGTTTAGCTGATCTTTCAGGTTTGGTTGATCTTTTAGATTTGTCTGATCCTTTAGGTTTCTTCAGCATTTTTTGACTGTCACTGGGAGTCGGAGTCGGAGCAATGAATGGAGAAGGGGGAGGTGCCCTCTTCCTATTGGTTCTACGAGGAGTTATTTTGTCGATTTCTTTTTTGTCATCTTCCTCTGCTGGAGCTGCTTCTGCTGGGGCTGAAGGGGTGAGAGCTGTCATTCATCACCAAAAAAAAATTAGTCAAGCAATCAAGAGAAAATGAGCATGGACAACTATGTCAACGATTTCCCTATCACTAGATGAAACAAGAACAAAGACAATGAATTGACTTGGATAACTGCAGTTCATCTCAACTTGACACGATGAAATGTTTATCGATTCTTTTATTCTTTATGAAAAAAAAGAAGTCAGAAACCAAATTTTCTCACAAGATGAAAAAAAGACAGAGAAACAAATATGTTTTTAAGCAAACCTTTGGTAGAAGGTTCCAAAATGGCAGGGACCTTCCAAACAAATGAAGCAAAGAATGAGTCAATATCTGCATCCGGGAAAGTTGATAGGATAAAACGTTCAAGCATCGGCTTGCTTGTAAAGAATTTTGGAACATTTGTCTTTCGAAGACTTTCTGGAACACTGAGAAATCTATCATTGAAGAAGCCAGAAGTGTTGACTCTCTTCCCCACTTTCCAGCTCCAAATATCACCAGCATTCGGCCAATGTATAGGAGCATAAGGTAAACCTTCCCCGCTACTGCCAGGTGGAACTGGTACTGGTTCAGGTATACTATCAAGTGGAACTGGAGCTGGTGCAGGCAAATTATTCTCTTCAATTACAGAAGGACAATCGTTATTTCCATTTTGGATATCAGTTACCGGAAATTCGTCTTTGCTACTTCCATTTTGGATATCAGTAACCGGAAATTCACCTTTGTTACTTCCATTATTGATATCATTTCCCAGAAATTCGTCTTTGTTACTTCCATTATCAGAATCATTTCCCTGAAATTCATCTTTTGGTGCAGATGGAGAAGAAGCTGTTCCGCCACAGTAACTGCAATTGGGATAAAATTGCATTTAAGAAAACATAATTAAGCACATTTAACTTAAGAAGGTAAGTCTTCCAAATACTTAAAATTCATACCTACAACCCCAAAACTAATGTTACTCAGACTTGGGTGTGAGTGTGACTGTCAGATATAGGTATGCATCTGACATTGGTAAGTTCAATTTCCATGTATTTGGACGGTCATATTCCCTACCTAAGGAATATGTAAGGACACAGGTACTCCAAGAAAACTAAAGAATCAGAGCAACACAGGCTGCTATGCTCATTAATCGATGAATACATCAGAACAACTAGAAGATCATTGTTCAATACTTGACCATTTTGGCACGTGAATGATGATTTATCCCCAGGCTCGGATATATAAGCTTTCGTGGGTAGCTAATTACTAAAAACGATCCAATTCCAGCTAGTCTTTACATGTTAAAAATAGGTTAGATTCATATGCAGCCATTCTCCATCAAAGTTACAGAACCAAAAGAAACTAAAGATGAAACAAACAAAACCCTAAAATGTCAAAAAGAAAAAACCAATACATCACTGATATTTTGGTAACCATGACAACCTTGGTATTTCCAGAGCATTCTCAGGGCAAAGATATTTAACATCCCTAAATTGAAAATTCTTCGATTTCGGGTACCTAACCATCAACCAGTGTGCATGCAAACTATTTTAAACAGAAATTTGCTAAATTTCTATACAAGAACTTCTATTTTCCAACACAGTTTACTTTCCAAAAGGAAAACCCAAATTCTCATGATTATCGTCACATCAGCCTCATCCCAATAGCAAATAAGTAAGGGATTAAGCACATAAAAACAATGAAAATGATGGAATGAAGAAGAAACGAAGCTAAAAAAAGCTTACTCCGGAAAGAGATCTTGGTGGGTATCTATGTGTGGACTACTCATGTCAGTAGGGTTATCACCAGCATGAGGAGGAGATGGAATTGACATCATTAGAAGAAAAATCCCAGTTTGGCCTGAGAAAACAAGGCACCCCAAAAGAAAGAAAAAAAAGGTTCAAAATTTTGATCTTTGAACTTCTCACTGAGAAGTCAAAACTCAAAAGTGTGATCTTTTTAACATTGAGAAATGTTGAGAAGCTGAGAAATGTAGGGTACCCAAAAGAAAAAGGCTTTGGCCCAAAAACAACTGCTATAGTGCTGGACTCGGATCTGTTACAGGGAAGAAGAATTTACCAGGGACAACGAATTTAAATGAAAATGTACTTCGTACTACTGTGTTATAAGGTCAAATTTGTGACGATGGATTCCTTTTAGGGTAATCTACAAATTTCAGTACGCAACTTTAATCTCACTCCTATTTTGATCAATAAATTTTATTATTTTCAATTTAATCACTTAATTTTTTTATTATTATCACTCAAATTTAAGATTGTTCTTGTTTATATCATTTCATTAAATCACAAACGGTAATAAGGTATGATGACATTTTTCTATTGACATGGATTATTTTTTACTGACAGATTCACCTTATTTTTTTCTATTTTTGATTTTATTATTATTCTAGTAATTTTATTATTTTCATTGATAATTGTTTGTATCGTTTGTTATCATATTCCGTCATATGTCATCTCAAATTAATCATTAATCAAATATTTATACGTAATTTTATTTTAGACATTATAATTAAAAATAAACCATCCCTTTGATACATACACCTTTTGTTGCAAAAAGTTTAATATCAACAACGACTAATTTAATTTCTAATCTTACTTTAGGATTTTTTAGATAATACATAAAAAAATCTTAATTGAGTTAGTTTAAATAAAAAAATAGAAAAAAGATAAGAGAAATTCACCTTTAATTTTATTGGGTATTTTTTTTATTGAAACGGTCATTTAAAGGTCCTAATAGTAGAGAGACTTCTTTTAGAACGAGAAGTAACATATTTCAATTTCAATTTCGACGGACGATGAAGATCAAAGAATAAAAAATTAGAGCATTCAACGTTAGATTCATGAAGTTAATAGTGTTTTTCTAGTTAACGAACATTGAATTCGAGTTAGCAAAGACAAAATAAATTTAATAAAAAGTTCGAGATTCATCAACTGTCAATGACGATAGACGGAACGACGATTGATACAATAATAATTTTAGAAAAATCAATATAGAAAAATTAAAAACAAATGAATTTTGTTCACTACATACAACATTGTGCGTTGACTAGTTGTTAGCTTATAAGGTAGAAAGCCAAGGGTTCAAATACTTGACCATTTGTTAGCATTATTTAAGCTTCAATCTTTGGGGGTTCCAAACTACACAAAAACAGAAGATCTTTGGGATCCAATAAAGCTGAATCTCTCACAAAAAGCACATCAAAAGGACACTTCCTTCCCTCATTTCTAAAAAGAAAATTATTTATTTGTTAATTACTTTTTTAATTATTATTGTATTTATAATATATCATAATGTAAATTAAAAATAATTATATTTTTTATTACATTTTCCGAAGAATACAAGGCTTAATAGTAACACCAAAAAGAAAATCTTTGTTGCTCTCTCTTTAGCCCAGACCGGTGGTTTTCTTTTTCACCCATTAAAACCCCACTCTGCCACCATTTTCTCCTTCACTTTCTGGGTTCTTTTTTTCTTCAACAAACTCTCTTTCTTAGATTACGAAAAAATGTCGAATATGTTCTTGAAATTCTTTCCTCGCTGCTTCACAGACCTTAAATCAATGGATGAATCAGTGGATGGCTTTAAGAAGTTCAACCAACTTTGTGAACTCTCTTCTTCTTCTTCATCTTCAACCTCCCACAAGTCCCTTTTGACACCCCCCACGACCGAGTACTCCGAATCCGACTCGGCTCCAGATTTCGCCACCGTATTCGCTTCCCAGCGTTTTTTCTTCTCTTCGCCTGGAAGATCCAACTCCATCATCGAGTCACCCGATACGAGGACCGAACCCGAGACTAAAACACCGGCGGCGGCGGCAGTGGATGGAGGCGTTGCGGTGAAGAAGTACTCGCCGGACCCGTACAAAGATTTTCGAGTGTCGATGCTAGAAATGATCGAAGCGAAGAACTTAACCGATGTGAACCAGGACTGGGAGTTCTTGCATGAACTACTCCTTTGTTACCTTACTTTAAACCCCAAAAACGCCCACAAGTTCATCGTTAGTGCTTTCGCCGACATTGTTGTTTGCTTATTGTCGTCATCACCAGAATCCGATACACCGGAAAACAACGGCCGGTGATACTCTCTCTTTACCCTTCTTCGTTTTCCTAGTAAAAATTGGCGGTTGTTTTTGTGTTTTGGAATTTGGACTCTTCTTGCATGGGGATGTTGATGTCTCGAGACACTGTAATTTTGGCTGTTTTATAGCTAAGCATGCAAAGAAAATGGTGTAATAATATTTTTTTTTTCTAGTGAAGTGTTCCTCCATGGATGAATATGGTGATTTCTTGGGGAAGACAGAGTCTTGAGCTTGTGTTTTTTTGTGTGGTCCATGGGATGATGAAGTCTACTTCATTTTTTGCACACAAAATCACGAGGTTGGCTGTGTTTATGGGTTAGGATTTCGGACAATTTAGCTGCTACATGTCGGGTCCATGTAGTGATGATTGTTGTAATAATTAAAGTCCCAATTCTAAGCATGTACTTGTGCATGTTTGTAGTTATTCAATGGCAAATAATATAGCTAAACAATAGAAATTTGCATAAGCAAACAAAGTTTTTATATGATTCTCTTGTTTCAAATGGTTTTTGATAATATTATAGTATCATTTTTTAGGCATGTGTCTTCTTCGAGGATAATAATAAGTCGGGTTAAATTCAGCTGATCCAATTCAAAAAGTATATTTCTTTCAATTGAATTTGATTGATTCGAATTTAAAAAGATATCACTCGATCTTAGTTTTAGAGTCTACATCCAACCCAATACTAATATATCTTTACATTTGATAAAATAAAGATGTAACAGAAAAAAATTATAGAGAGACGTATTATAACAATTATTTCTAAATATATCGAAGAAAATTATATTATTATCTTGGATCAATAGAAGAGTTTTCAACCTAAATCTAGATCCTATCTAATTTCACCTTTATAAAATCTAATCCAACACGAAACAAATCTAATTTTTTTTAAAGCTTCATCTTATTAGATCAAGTCAAAACCTATCCTATCCGGATCAAATTATCGTCCCTAATCCTGCCACTACTTTATCTACTCATACTAGTGATAATAATATAAGAGAAATTAAATAAAATATGGTGTTTTTATCTTTCATGTTTATTTTATAGTATATACTCCAATTTCATTATGGATCCTTCCAACAATGTTTTTAAATTTAAACATGAAATCTCTTATTCGAAATACAGTCTAATATATCATTATGTCTATTACTTATAATTAAAATATGATTTTAATCGATTAAGAAAAATCTGAATATGTATTATCTTATAATTATTCTAGATTATTAAAAAATTAATATCCAAAGAGAGATGCTAACAACTGCAAGAAAAAATAATTGATTAAATAATTTAATTTCATTTACCTTTTAATTAATTAATAATCTCTAAAGTTAGTTGGTTTAGGTAATGTTAAAACCAGACCATTTGTCCTTAAGTGTCTCCCCTAAGGTCTTTGAGTCCTTTCTAGACATTTGGTGGGATAAAAAAGTACCCTAAAACCAATGCAAAATTAGTTTATATCAAGACAAGGAGGCATGTTTATTTGGAAAGACAACAACAATGGAATAATTATAGTACTTGGGTTGTTATTATTATTACATTACACTTCAAAATATAGCAGAAGCATTCAAGCTTTTTAAATAATCAATAAAAAAAATGGTTGTCCCTTGTTCCCATATGTAATGGGGTAAGGGGAAGGTAAGATAGTAGACTGCCCCCAACACCAGGTTGAGAGCAACTTTCGTAGAAGACCTCCGAATTATGAAATGCCCTCCGTGTGACTCGATCCCACGACCTCAAGATTAAAAACCTTGTGCTCTACCAACTGAGCTGGATAATCATCTCTTTTTAAATAATCAATGAAACCTTTAAATACTTTACACTCAATTAAATTTTTATATTTTACTTTTATTTTATCAATTAGTTTCAAAAAATTTACATGACGATTTTGATAAAAACTGTAAAATTCGAAGACAACACCATTTCACTAAAAAAATAGGTACATTTTTTTAATTAATTTTGCAGTAAAATTGTTTCAATAATAGATTGAATTTCTTTTGGTTACGTAAAGAGTAAGAAAATTATTTTCCAATTAGGGTATTTACTAGAGTAATCGTTGGAAATCGTCTAGATCACACGACGATTTTTAAAAGAATTTAGATCACCCGATAACTTCTATAGAACCATTAATTATTTTTACTATCGTGCATATATGAAGCTTGAAAAAAAAACCCTCTACACTCCAGATGACTTTAAAAAATCATCGTACATTTCAGACGACTTTCGATAAATACTATAATAAAAACGTTACTTGAAAAAATAATTTTTCACACTCTAAATTACTATTTTGTTGAACACATTATTTTAAAAAAAAGGCACAAATTTTGCACTAAATATTAAATTTTAATTTTATTTTTATTTTTGCTTCCTCACAAGAGTTTGGGCCACCACCTGCCCTTAACGAATCAGTGGATAGCCCAATCTTTTACACTTTCCAATGAATATATATTTAATTACTTATCTGCACATATAAACAAAAGAATCAGTGGATCATTACTTATCCGCCCAATCTTTTAAACTCCGGCGGAGAATGGCGGCGTCGCTGCTATTACCATTCGCATCTCCGACGAAAACAGCTGCTCTTACTCTGACCTACTCGCATTCGAAATCAGTCATCGCCAGTCGCCATGTCTTCTCAATCCCTTCGAAAACCAAACATCTTCCCAAAGTCTCCGGGGACACAAACAAATATCGGTTGTTTCCCATTAAGGCCATCGAAGAAAGCAAGGAGAGCGTGGAAGATTCTGTGACCGCAAAGGAAGCGGAGGCAGAGGTGGAGGCTTCGTCGAGTGAGGAAAGCGAGTTGAGCGCCATAGGAGCGGAGATAAAGAAGGCGATAAAGGAGAGAGAAGCGAACAGTGATAGCCTTGCCGGAGGAGTTGCGGAGGAGATAAGGGAAATAGAGTGGCCCGCGTTTGGTAAAGTGTTGGGGACCACCGGCGTTGTCCTTGGTGTTATTGCCGGTTCCAGTGTCGTTTTACTCACTGTTAATGCCGTTTTGGCTGAGCTTTCTGATCGTGTTTTTGCCGGTAAAGGCGTCCAAGATTTCTTCAGCTGATTTTTCTTTTTCAATTGCAGTTTTAATTGTAATTTGATTGTTAATTCATATGTTAAGAGGCTTTTGTTTGATGACCGTGCTTTGATTATGAATGTTTTTTGTTCATTACATACCTACAACGCCGAAGTTAAAATCGCAAACAAAAACTGATGATAATCAGCCATGGAAAGTATCTCATGGCTAGAAAGCCAGGCTCTCTGCTTCCGTTCTCACTGATTCAAACAGCACTGATGAAAAATACCTTTCCCTAAAGCTTTACATCGCCTGCATAGATTTTATAGAACATATCATAGTATTTTACATAACAGTTGTTTTTTTATGGTGTAGGATTGGTTATAGCATGATCTTAGATGCTGAGTAAAAGGGTCTTATTGCCCCTGAAAGGTTAGTAGCTTCTTTTTGTGAACTACTAGTAAATTTCAAAATTGGTTTCTCAGTTATGGTATTGAGTGTCGGATACGAGTATGCTTAATTTTTTGAGTTTGTCCTTGCATTAGGACAATTATACCCAGTAATCATGTCTGAATGTGTACCTGATAAGATACTTTTAAGAGATATGAAGAGTCGGAGTGACGGAGTTTATAAGGGAAGTGTTTTAGTAATTGTATTTGGCCTTAGTTGCTGTGGGATGGTTGATCATTATTTGAATGGAACAAAAATAATCCGAGTTTGGTTCGGAAGGCCAAACTCGTTCAAGTAAAATGACCCTTGATTTTGTGTTTTAACTTCCTTTTCCCCGAGACGGTTGTTTGAAGAGTGCCCTCATTGAACCTACAAGGGAAACGCAGGGATAGGACTAACGTTTATGGGTGCTGCTAAGCATTACAGGCTTATCATCAAAATGCCTGCTTCGATGAGTCTCGAAAGAAGGATTATTCTTTGTGCATTTGGGGCCAAACTGGTTCTCACTGATCCTGCCAAGCGCATGAAAGGGGCTGCACAGAAAGCAGATGAGATATTGGCTAAGACACCTAATGCATACATATTCCAGCAGTTTGAAAACTCTGCCAACCCAAAGGTGTTTTTGAAATCATATTTTAGTGGACCCAAATCCAATTGTTTGGTTGAATAAGTCTATTGACATATTCTGTTGTTGATATAGATACACTACGAGACTACCGGACCAGAGTTATGGAAAGGTTCGGGAGGTAAAATCGATGCACTTGTTTCAAGGATAGGTACTGGTGGTACCAAACCAGGTGTAGGCAAATATCTGAAGGAGTAGAATCCCAACATAAAGGTACATATCATGTGTTGCAGATTTTGATCCGGGCATCATGAGTCCACTTTCTTTAAACTCGTAGTTCTGGCCTTCTCTAGTATATTACTATAAGAAAACACAAGTTTATTGTTTTGCTGACTGTTGATTTGCTTTATGCTTATGCATATCAAGGTCCACTTAAGATCCAAGGAACAGGTGCTGGTTTCGTCCCAGGAGTTTTGAATGTCATCATTGTACAGGATGAAGATAAATCCGGGTTGTCGTCTCTCTTTGGGATTGATATCATCCATGTCGTTTCTCCATCTCATCGGACACTGCCTGTTCTTGACACAAGATCAAGGTTCCATCTTTCAAGCTTAGCAGGAATGCGAGCAACACAACCATCCCTCAGTTTGTTCAGATACACCAATGGAGTTCTACCAATCAACTTTGTGACTATTATATCTAATTATATTTTTTTGTTACAAGTACAATAACGATTCTATTTTGTCTCCTAAAATTATAATATATAAATTAATATGTAATAAAATTTTATTTTAACTCTTAAAATGATAAATACATGATTTAGTCCTTTTAAAATTTTAAAAAAAATTAATACAAAAAAATTATATTTGATTTACCAACATTATTAATAGGGCGTAGTCTCACATTGCGGACAAGACATTATAAATAGTGCAATACAGGTAATTTCATACTACTATACTCCTTAAAAGTAATCATAATCTAGCCTAAGATTATGAATGCAATTTTAAATTTTAGATTATCTTCTGTTTTTATTATTTTAAATTATTTTTCAATTTTTTAAATTAATAAGGAACAAAGTAACTGAAAAAATAAAATTTAATTAAAAATTATATTCTTTTAACTAAAAAAATATAATTTTGTTTGATAAATGAACCAAACACTATGATATAATCTTACATTTCATAATGGCATTTAAAAATTAGTATTTTCAAATGGAAAAAATTGAAAGGAGAAAAATATAAAAACAAAACCTTATCTTTTTCCAACACCACACACACCCCCAACGCAGAAAACAAGCTTTTCATCGTCTCTTCTGCCAGAAACCCCTAAACAGCAACAATGGCATCCTTTCGTTTCACTCAATCTCCCTTAATTATCAGCAAACCAAAACACCCCACCACTACGATTCCAACCTCCAAATCTCAGCTCAGCCCCAAAACCCACCACCAGGGGTCGTCACTCGGACGATTCCCAGCAGTAATAGCAAGGTCTTACAAAGTGGTATTGGAGCACGAAGGCAAGTCGACGGAGCTAGAGGTTGAAGACGATGAGACCATTCTATCAAAGGCATTGGAGGAGGGAGTGGCCGTTCCGCATGACTGTAAGCTCGGGGTTTGCATGACTTGCCCGGCGAAGCTCGTGAGCGGCAGCGTTGATCAGAGTGAAGGTATGCTCAGTGATGATGTTTTGGAGAGTGGGTTTGCTTTGCTTTGTGTGTCTTATCCAACTTCGGATTGCCATATCAAGACTATTCCAGAGGAAGAGTTGCTTGCTTTGCAGTTGAAAACGGCCAATGATTGAATTACTTTTCTCAGTTGTGTGTGTATGTTGGATGCCGTGTTTTGTTCTTGAACGAAATTGGAGTCATAGAAGACAATAACAAGATTATCTCTTTTTCAATCTTAATTTCATTATATTCTTTCTTAAATATAAGATTTATTAAATATTCAACTTTAAAATTTAAATAAAGAATATTTAATTTATCTTATATTTAAACTTACAAAATTAAAGTATCATTACAACACTTATTTTAGACATATACGTGCATCGAACACACACTATCAAATTTGGACGATATTAGATTACCTTGTTGAATAAGTGAAGGGGATGTAGATGAAGTTTATCCCATAAGATCAAGGTTTTTTTTTTATATTTAAATATCAACTTTGAGTGCAGATAATTAACTCGGATCAAATGAAATGTTCCTGAACACAAGTCGAATCAGACTTTGAGTGCAGATACTTAACTCGGATCAGATCGAGTTAGCTGAAACTTTGACCCACGTCCATCCCTAATCCTACTATATTATTCTGTTGAAGCCGTTGGCTACTAGATGTCTTCTTTATAAATAGTTGGGCCGTAAACTACATGGCAAGGGAACTATAATTTCCAATTATGGGAATGCAATGGTTTCTAAGCAACGTAACGTTGTTGGGTTAGGGTCTTAGTTGGCAGAAAGGAACGAATTGGGCAGTAGATGTGGGAGCTTTCAGTGGCAAATCATCGAATAGTTGGTACACCAACAAATATCCGCTTAAATACATTTTGTTGAGTGCCTTCTTCAATAAACAAAGCTGCCTAGTGTTCTTTAACGAGTAAAACCTACTCAAACTTCACAATTTGAGAATGATAGAGAATAAGCAGAAGATGCTTGACATGCCTTCAGGCTTTACTTTGCTTGAGAGACACCTACAGGATGGGATCCTTTCAAAGTCCCCCCACAACAGTCCCCATCTTCCTTAAAAACTAATATGCATGTTTGCAACGGAATCAAAGACTGTCTACTAATAATCGAGTCATCGGTTCGGAAACAAGCATAAAGGATGTAAAAAGGCACATCATATCAGATAAACAGTAGGAACATTTTTCTACAAACTAATCCTACATGGTAGTCTTGAGTTTAGACATTGTTACGCTTAACCACAATCACCTAGTACTAGAGTTTTTTTCCCGATCAACATTAAAAATACAGCTTCTCGTTTTTGGTAAAAAGCGAGAAAGCACAGCAGTTATAATTATAATTAAACACACAGACATCGCTACCATTAAAACGGTTAGTGATATTACAAACAAACCATTTTAGAAATATAAACTTCAGATTTGGCTGCATAGTAGTCAGGGTATCAGTGGTTACCATCTCCAGAGTAGTCGTCGTCATTGTTTATCGGTAGTAAGCCTGCTGATATGCGGGTGCCAAACCATTACCGTATCCCCCGTATGCGGGATAGTTCATGGGAGCTCCTGGGTATGAACCAGGAAGGGGAAGAGGGGCTGCTTCTGGTGAGTAAGTATAGGGGTTGGTGGGTGGGCTCCTGTTTCCGTACATGGCTGGTGGGGGTGGGGGTGGGTATCCCGGGACTGCAGCGGGGTACTGGGTGTGTGAGGGAGACCTTACAAAAGGAGGAGGTGCGGGAAAAGATGAGACATATGCATTTGTCAAACGGCCAGCTTTAGCTGGAGGCATTGGACCGCCATTACTTGCACGTGTTCGCTTGTTAGCAGGGACTATAATTGGCTTTCTCTTCTCTGTCTTGGTCTTCTCTAGCTGCTCAAGGCGTTTCTTGAGGTTTTCAGGTGGGAACTCAGCCTCGAGTTTGTACTCCTCGATGCACTTGATGATGGCCCGAAGTGCTGATTGCTCTTTGCGAGCAACAAGTTGCTGCAAAAATCATGAACAAAGATTCCCCTTTAGAAAAAAAGATATACGAAATGACAATACCATTAACCATAAGAGGCATGCTTTATCATATAAAAAACATCATATTTGAATTTATTTCAGTTATCAGGCAAATATATGACTGAAATAAATAGCTTACAGCTTACAGCAAAACTCAGGTGGAAACCCTTGCATGAAACATTCAATTAAGTAAAAAATGGATAATCCAATCATAAAGTGTAAAAAGTAAAACAAATCATCAGTATGAGAAAAACCATCAGGAGAGTAAATATGGGTATACCGCAGCCCGGCCAGTATTATTGGGATCATCCAAGATAGAAGAAGCAGCCTTCTTTGCATCCCTCAAGTAAGCTTTCAGAAGGGGTACAGGGGGGAACTTGTCCACAAGGTCAACTTCATAAGTAAAATGAACGGCATCAAGCTGTTGTCCCTTGCTGATCAACTCTTCAATCATGTCTATATACGATAATTGAAGGCGTTATAAAAACTCAACCTAATAATTGTAACTTAATGGTACGAATCACTGCAAATTCATACAGTATAAATCCAAAGAGAGAGAATCAGCAGAAACACAACAGTCAACTAAAAACAATGTTTTTAAATGAAATATAGACCAAGTTAAGGATTGAAAGGTGATGTTTGAGTTATGAAGAATACACCAAACACCGTTGAATTCATATTTTCTCTCTAACAAACTAAAACAGCTGTTGACTTCAAAAAAGAACATAATTCATATTCAATCCTATGAGCATCTAGCTTCACCCATCTTAAAATAAAGGTTAAGTTCTTAACCCATTCGAACAACAAGAAGTTAGTACACTTTTCACAACGTGCAGCACTAAGTTTCCAAATGCTAAAATTGCATCACGATATTAGTTCTCCTAATTGGTCACCTGAATACAGACCATATATCATCTGAAAAACAAAAATAATATATAACTATTGGCAACACTCCAATCAATCAGATAACAATGAGCAAATTACACAAGCAAAAGCCGTATTGAAAGCATGTAAGCTAGCAAAAGTAAAGGCAGATGCTTTAGCTACATGTTAAAACAATACTCAAAAGCTAATTCGCATCCTATTTTATAATTCTTCGTACCAACACACCTATAGACCCCGATTCAAATACAAGGATAAACATTCTACCAGTGCGGACATACCACCATCTAGCTTACGAAATATGAATCTGAGATTCACTCTAAATGCAACATAGCTCATGAAATGTTCTAAAAATCTCATCTTCACAATAACTATGTTAATTCAGAAAGTTCTGCCGACAAGTGTTCAACTATATCAGACAATATAATCACTATCATCACAGTTAAACATTAGAATTGAAAAATCATACCAGGCATCTGATCGCCGAGGCCAAGAGAAACGGCGAGTTTAGGCATTTGTTTTCTCCAAGCAGAAGCAACAACAAGCTTCCTATAGAACTCCAGATCTTCCTTTTTAACAATCCCGAACGTAACCAAATGCTGCAAAAAGGTATGAACATCAGGGGTCTTCACATTTTCAATTCCTCCTCTCTCTTCAAGGCTCTTTTTCCACGTCTCCGCGATTTCTTTCGCCTGCTCCTTCATACTTGGCGTGACCAGCATCCTTGATTTTCCGATTACCGGATCAACCACCACCGGAATTAAGCTTTCGAGGATCAAAACACAAGCCCAGGCTAAATCACTTCCTCCATCATTGTCTCTTTTATCTACTGGAAATACCTCCGATATGGCCTCCATAACGAACCTCGCCGGATCGATGCATTCAGACAAAGCTGCAGGGACTTTCTCTCTCAACAAGTCGATTTCCTTCTTTTTTCCGGTCACGAAGTTCCAGAACTCTTTAGCTTTCATTTTCAAGCACGATGATTTCAGGTGCTGCAAAAGGCCGTCTCCGTTGTCGACCTCGCCATCCGGATTCTCTTCGACATCGTTGGTGAGTGTTCTCATGGCGGCTTTGGTGCTGAACTCGACTTTGCTGAGTGCGATCTTGACGCTGTCCTCGATGCTGAGTTCGCGCTTCTTGAGTGAGTCGAGTGAGGCCTTGGTCTCCGTGTCAAGCGTCTCGATCTTGCGTTTCAAGGTCTCCGACTGCTTCATCAGGTTCTGCTCGAGTGAGTTTATGTGATCGGAGAGTTCCTTCCAGAGGAGGGTGCAGCTCGTCATCAGAGACGTCTGACGCTGGAACTCATCGAAACTCGGCTGTTCGAACTCGGTCAACTCGCCAGGATCGGGGATCGACCCCATGGTTGTTGGTGGAAACTCGTTCTCTTTCCTAAGCTCGCTCGGTGACTAAATAAGCCGAAAACCGAAAAAGAAAAACGAAAGAAAGAAAATAAAAAAACCTAGCGATGGATAAAAACAGGAAGTAAAAAAGGCTTAAGAGATGGTGACGTGGGTGCTTGAAATGAAGACAAGTGTAATGGCGACTGTAGATCAAAATGATGGCGAGAAGTGGGTGTTTCTATCTTACACCTGGTGTGTAGGATAAGAGGATCGGACTAAGATACACGGGGGAGTTAGTGGCGTGTAGGATAAGGGATAAGGGGGTGTTTGGTTGTCCGTGATAAAAGGCCTAAGAGAGTGGAGTGCTTTTCCCGAAAATCGAAGTGGGAGGGAAAAAGTAAAGAAACAAACAAACAGGGAAGGAGGAAAAAGCTGGGAAAAGTAAGAGGGGGGACAAATGGTCCAGTGGGCAGTCCACGTACCCACATGGGAGGCGTCAGAAAAAAGAAATTTAAAAATACATATTTAGTAGGCTTTTTCACCTAAATATATCTTATTTTAAAAAAAATTAGTACATCAATTATTATTATTATTTTGTTATAGTTAATTATTTATTTAAAATCATATAAATGTATTACGTTGTAGTTTTATTTTGATTATTTACCGTTAAGAAATTAATAGAATTGAATTTGTTGATATGTATTTTTTTTATTTTTTTAAATGATGATAAAATATTATCTTATAGTGACACGTTAATAATTTTATTAATTAATTCACGATAAGTGATCAAAATAAAATTAAAACTAAACGTTATGTATGATTTAAAAATAGTTGTGTGATAAAAATAAAAGAAAAATAATAATTAATATACTAAATATAAAATTTACCCTAAAATTTTTTTATATTCTAACATCTATTTCATGTTATTCCTTAGATTAGCACTCTTAGAACTCTAAGTCTCCGTCAACCTTCCCTAGCGTATCCTCGTTCAAAAATACTTTTTGTTATCGTTCAAAAATTTTCAAGTTAATAATTACATTTGATGTCTAATTAATACTCCTAACGTCCTATTATTTTTATCCTATGTTAATCAAATACATAATTTTAAAAAATAAATTTGATCACGTACCAAATTATATAAAATAAAAGAAATGATAAAATCATCAAAAAAATAATATTTGATATATTTATTTTGATAGACATAAAAGAAATAGATATAACGGTAAAAAATTAAAAAATTTGTTATTTGTTAATATTTTAATAAGATATTTTTAACGTTACAATTTTAAGATTTAGAGGGGGAAAATTAATAAGATGAAAGAATATATAAATATAATTTAAAAAAAAATAATATTTAATCAAAATTTATTTAATTTATAGATGCTTTACAAACATACTTACACAAACTTAAGCTCTCGAGAAAAATAATTTTTTTATCACTCTATTGTTCCGGAGTTTGTACATAGATTGATAAAGGAGATGGGGTCCATTATTGCAGTGTGGGACCCATTGAATTTGAAGGGTGTAAGGTTCGGGCACGTGAGGATGAGGGTGGCATAATGATTTCCCCATCGAGTGGAAATTTAAATATGGGCGACACCAAAAATTTAATCCGAACCCGAATTTTAAAAAATATTAATTCGATTGGGTCGGGTTCGGATCTCATATCTATCACTAATTATAATTAATATAATCGTACAACTCCAATAATAAAAATATATCACTAACAATATATCAAATATCAATCCAGTGTAAAAATGTACAATACAAATGTGTTATAAATGGTTAGATTTATCCTCTGAATCAACCGACCACAGTTGACGTTTACATTGGACAATGACAATCAAAGATGACAAGGTTGGTTCATGAATTTCTGATTTTAAAGTTTTCTTTTTATCATTTTATTTTGTCATATGAATTAAGTTTGAAGGATTAATAGGTTTGGGAAGACAAATGTCAATCATGGGTTTCGTTTTCACTTCTTATTACTATCCTTTCGTCTTAAAGGAATGGATGTCATCGTTTCAGATCTAGACCTAGATTATACCTGGTTGGATCTTGTTCAGATTTAATTCAGATCGATGGTAAGTAAGATCAAATCAGATATCAGATTGAGTCAATATCGAATCGATCGATTTTTGGATTAAGACAATATCAATCAATTAATCGATTTAGTACCATAAGATCATGGTTAAGAAATAACGAGGCAATGAAAGTCATGCTGGTGAAACATGTACTAATGCTTCATCAAGTGGAGCTGGAAATTACCGGACCGGTTAATCCCATTCCGGTCACCAAGTGACTGAAGCAATGCCTCAAAGAAAACAGATAACTCATTCAATTCTCAAAATCAAAATCTTCATGGATAAATTCAGTCATAAAATTCAAATGGAGGAAAACTACCGTTCAAAGAGCAGGGGAAACATCGTCCTTGGTGTGATGATCATCAATGTGAATGTCTCCGGTGGCCTTGACATGCACATCGAACAGCCCATGAGAGGCTAATTGCGGCAACAGCGGCGAGGAGAGATTGTCTGTTCTGTTCCATCCTACTTATTATATAAAATTATAATTTTATTCTTAGCAGCGGCGTGTACTTACCCTCATGGTGGTATTAAGGGAAAAAAATCAATGGAAAACATGCACCAAGTGACATGAAAGGTACTGATAATAGATTTCGATTTTCAACCCCAAAAATTCATTTCGGATTAGATCTCCATAGCAACAGGTAAAGTCAGAGGATAAAACTCAAATGGATACTCAATAAAGAAGAAAAGGAGCTCAGCACTAAATGAAGCTCAATGGCAAACAACAGAAAGGTGAGGTAAATGAGTAAGGGGCTGGTCTCATGCCTATGGGATCTCACTTCTTCTTGGCAGCATCTCCAGCCTTGGTCTGCAATGTGGGGGAAGTCGCAATTAATAGACGAAATAAATTTCGGAAAAAGAATAGTCGAAAATGAAACAAACCGATTTACCTTCTTTACACCTCTGATCTTCTTGGCCCTGTTTTTCCTTTCCTTCATCTGCTTTCTAGACTTCTCAACCTTGGTATCAAGTCCGTTCTGTCATCAGTAGAAAAGAGGTTCAGTATCGACGAGCAAAGCGTGTATGTGCATATTAGCACATGCACTCGCTTGATTAAAAGCGCAAGACTTGTAAAACTTGATGGAAGCTATTATTTTCATCACTCGTGTTACCCGAAAAAACAAGAGATATATCGTCCAATGCAACGGACAAATATAAAGATGCATTTGATGCAGGAGACACAACTTGTTCTAATGGCTTCTCTAAAACTTGTTTCTACATTATGAAGTATGAACTCAATCAAAAGTAAAGATATCAACCTAATGGGATGCTACCAAATAGCATAGGCAATGCCATCTATGATGACTTCTCGGCCAAACTAGATCGCAACGAAGGTACAAAGAAGATAAACTTAATTAATCTAAAGTTAGAATCAGAAAAACAACTCTAGCGAAGATATTCAAGCTTCCCAGTTGACATTTAATCCCTAAGAAATAAGTTAGACTAAACAACTCTCAAGTCTAAACAGCCACCAAGAAAAAGAACAGGAAATTTAGTAACAAATAATTATTACCCTACATTTCTTTTATACGCAAAACATTGCTTCCCTGCTTATATATTACACCATATTCTATGATATATTCGAACAAACGAACAAGACTTATGGAAGCAGTTCTTGTCATCCTACAACTACTGCGAATCTAAGCCAAAGTTGCCAAATGCTAAAAGTTCTAAAACGAATGCAGCATTCACATGTTATATATATAATTTGATATTTTGAATCCCTAAACCATTTAACTGGTGAGGTAAAACAACACCAAGTAAATCTTAAACTATACAAATCGAATGCAACAGTAAGCATAAAGAACTTCATGTGAATATCAAATTGACCATTAATCTAAATGATAATGCTTAAACCGAAATATGAATATCGAAAATCGCAGTGCTTTACCCTGATCAAGCGGTACTTAGGCTCGTACTTCTTCGCGTTCTCAACTGAGTCATAAATAAGCCCAAATCCAGTTGATTTCCCTCCTCCAAAGTGAGTACGGAACTTGAATACAAAAATGGAATTCGGGTCTTTTACTTCGTACATCCTGGTCAATTTTCCCTTCAACTCAGCCTACATTTCGAGTTCATAACAAAAACGAGTTAAAATGTACACAATCACATTGGGAACCTTGAACAAAAACAAATAACTCATTAAAATTACCTTTGAAACATTTGGTCTCCCGGGATGAAGAACATCGATGATCTGTACCAAAAATCATAAAGATGGCAACTTTTAAAGTTTTCAACAAAAACCCATTTTGACAAATCTCTTACTTTTCAAGTTCTTCATACATTTTCTCAGTAAACAAACAGTATAAAGCAACCTAAAGAAAAAGAAAGAGAAAACAAATGAGAACTAAAACTTTAAAAATAACCCACGAATTGTTTCCTCGAGAGGAGCCTGTTGGTCATGAACTTCCTAGTTCTTATGGTTACAGCTTTGTCCGCCATTGTTCTGAATGTACAAAAGGGAAAACAAAGCAATGCATAAGTATACGTAGTTATATACGCATATAAAGGTTGACTAAAGAAGAGAGAGAGAGAGCAAAGGGCTTACTTTAGTTAGGGTTTTTTCTTAAGTTTTAAGGGCGGAAGTGGTTATAGGTGGTTTTAGGGCAAGGCGCCGGCGCTAAAGCTGAAATATAGGAGAATGTAAAAGTAGGTTTTCGGTAGATAAAGTTAAATATTTGAGGTAGTGTTTGGTTGATAGCATAATTCTATCCTTAACTTTTTCTGGAATTGCCTAATGACTTGGATGCAATTTGATAAACCGAGAAAACTAAGTGATTGAAAATCAAGTGTTATTAAGACTTGAACGGATTAAAAAAGCTCTTGATTTTTTATTTTTTTAAAAATAAAACTAATTCCTCGTTAAAAAAATATATCTAAGTGTTAAAAATATATCAAATAAATCATTTAATTATTAAAACTCATCTTTAATTGTTACAATATTAATATAGTCATTGTATACAAATTCTAAATAAAATTTATATACAAATTCTTTATTCACTCCTTCAACCCTAACTAATATGAACTCATGGTCTACATGTGTACCAACTGAAGAAAATTCTATCAAATTCAGAAGGTTGAAAAACAAACTATACAAAGGCGGCTTCTTGTTACATACTTCAAGCTTACCCAAAGATCGAAAGGTATAGCAAGTAAGAATATGAAACAACTACTACCAGTACAACTACCAGACAATCAGCAGACCATTCATGGAAAAAACCCGACTCTTCCGGTTCCGCTGACGATGATGTTACCGAGCTTATTGATCCGGGAACAAAGAACGATGAACCAGTGCCCTTTCCACGGCGTCTCCTCTTCGAAGCTAACATGATATTGATCAAAGCCATGGTTTGATCGTCGGCTACTTTGGAGAACCACCAAGACTTGGGGATAATATAATTGATTTCAGTGATGCATCAATGGAGGTGGGTCAAGTAGGGCGTGCTGTATGAACTTTCTGGGAAACTTCCATGCACAAAGATAGACCAAAGTTTTAATTTCTATGAGTATAATGAAGGAGTGGACCGTCAGAGATGATGACAGCACATTGATTTTTCTCAAGTAAATGAAAGAAAGCTCTGGGAATGAATGTTGAAAAAAGAATATGGATCGCACACAACTTAAATCGTGGAAATTTTAATTTTAATTTTATTTGTTTATTTTATTATTTACTGTATTTAGAGAATGTTATTTTTAGGATTTGAATTTTTTCATTATTCGAAATTTAATGTACTTTATCATTATAATCAAAACTTGATCTAACTTATATGATCGATTAGATAGATCGTTTATCAATTAAATTTATAATATATTAACAAATAGATATGTTTATTATTCAATTAAAATTAAATTAATTGATCAAATCGAATTTAATTCGATTATTCGATTTTTTTATCAAAATATTCAATTAGTTAATATTAAAAAATTCAATTATCAATTAATTCGATTAATTAACTGAATTAATAGAAAATTTAATATATAACTAATAGACTTTTAGTTTTAAGCCCGAATCTCATATTTAAAACCCAATGTTTATATTTTTATTCCTAATAATATTAAGTACAACCCAAAAAGAAAGACTTTGAACAAAAAAATTTAACAAAATATTTTTTTAATTTATTACTACTTGAATTGTTAATTTAAATTAAAACTAAAAAATTATTTAAAAAATGATTAGTTCAAAAATAGATTGAATTAACTAAATTTATTTTAGTTAATGGTTTTTTAAATTTAAAAGTAATTGATTTAATTAATGACTAAAAATTTTAAAATTTAATTTAATTTTTTATAAATAATTCATTTCAATTATAACTGAACCGATCATTTAAACACTCAAAAGATTTTATTTTTATTTTAATTGTGGGGTATACATGAGGGCTTAAAAATTGTTTGAATGAGGGGAGAAAGGAACATGATTTTGGAATCTAATAATAAAGAAGCTGTCAACCTTATCAAGAACAGATCGATTGAACACAGAAAGCTAACTATTCTGCAACATATTGAGAAATTTTTAAAGAGAAATTGGGTGGTTGATCTGAAGCACATACTTAAAGAGGTCAATCGCGTTGCTGATTTCGTCACCAAACATATGTGAAAACATGCACAATTTTTCTACAAAATTACCCTAAGGAAACTGATGAGTTGTTACTAACTGATAGAACAGGCAGCTAGGCCGCCCCTTTTACCTGTTTCAACCAAAATCGTAGGATTGCTTTGAACAATAATTAATTGCGATTAAAATAATTTAAATAAATAAAAAATAATATTAAATAAAGACTTTTCGGTCAATCTTCTTCATTTAAATTAGTTTGTTTAAGAATTATACCTACTATTACTAGCCTTTATTATTTTATTATAAAGTTTCCCCGTATTATTGCCACTACGATGGTCAAGTTGTTTTTTTAGGGCAAAGTATATAAATTGTACTTTGATTATAGGACGTTGTTATATTTAGTCACTCAACTATTAAAAATTATAAAATAATCTTTAACTGTAAGGTGCTATTTTGTTGAGTCATTCGACTATTAAAAGTTACAAAATGAATATCTAACTATTCATATGTTTTAAACTCATCATTTTCTATTAATATATTGGCGACTGATTGAGCTAGACGTTAACCAATTGATTGAGATATGATAAAATAATTTGAGCTAAATTTTGGAATAAACTCTTTGTTTACACTATGCTATCGAGCCAGTATTTAAAACATTATGTCGTCGAGTCAATGTTTGAAAGCAGCGACAATGCCAATAAATATTATTAAAATATAATTTTATTATATTACAGTCAATATGTTAACGTTTAACTCAGACGACCTTCATTTTTTAACGAAAAAGAATGAGTTTAGAACATATGAATAGTCTGGTGATCATTTTTAACTTTTAATAGCCGAAGAACTCAACAAAACAACACCTTATAGTCGGAGGACCGTTTGTATACTTTACCTCATTTTTTACGATAAATTTAATTTTTAATATTAAAAAAGAGTTCAATAATATTTTAATAAAAATATTAATTAAAGTATTTTTTTTAATAGTATGAGATGATTATAAGGTAATATTTGTTCATAATCTTTCTTAATAATTGACAACGCAACACACCTTATAGACACAAATGTTCGAATCTAGGACATTAATTTATCAATCATATAACCATATAAATCGTATGGTCATAAAAAATGAGATTTAAATAGATGATGTAAAACATTTCGCTGAGACACTTATCCACCAAAACCAAGTGTGATACATGTATCGCAAGGCTCACATCAAAGAAACATAGACTAGCAATTCCAATTGATCCAGACGAACAAGCCTTGGAAAAGAAGAATAACATAACAATAGACTTGACTGTTTTTCTAATGGAATCCTGATCTTATTCGGTTAACATGTCTTCTAGAGATATGATCGGTTGTCTCTTAGCTTTTCAACAGTTTTTAAATCGTATCAATTCGATATCAGTTACTAAAGATACATCTATTTTACTGAAGACAACGCATGCACAAATTCCTATACGAGATTAATACGTGATTTTATAAATATTACGAATTTTTAATATTTTTATTGATTATTTGTAATATAATTTAATATATGATGCATTATATTTTAGGATTAGATTTATTATTTTATTAGGAATAAGATCAAGTTAAAACATTATTCTTAGTTTATTATTATTTTATCAGGAATTAGGATAGAATCGAAACATTATCTTTATTCATTAGTCATGTTACAACAATGACTCCTACCTTATATAAAAGAGGCTTCATTCAACTTTGTAAATCAAATTTCTTTGATTAATAATACACGAGAGTTCGTTTTTACAAGTGCTGGTTACCTTGTGCCTTCGAAGTTTCTTTTCATTAAGTTCTATCAAGTTCTTTGTGAGAGAGATCTTCACACTTCGGTTTGCCTTCTCATTGTGATTAGGAAGGTCAGTTAGAGCCGATTATCGAGTTTGTCAAGTCAATTGCAGCTATGAGGGTTCGTAGGACAATTATATATCAATCCTCATCATCATCATCATCAATCCACTATTCTCGTCCATCACCATCAAAATCCTAACTTGGCTAAGTTATTCCTTTCATTTTGTTATGTTATTCTTATTTCCTGTTGTTTTTATTTTATCTTTATTATTTTAATCTTATTCTTCTTATTTAATTTCCAGCAAACCCTAAAAACTCTAATTATCGATGCCCATCCATCTCTCTCCCCTTTATTCTTGATTGAGTTTAGATCTTTTCTAAGTTTGATTCTTCAACGACAAGTAACGTTAATAACTCCACTGTCGTCTCCTATCAAAGTGTGACATGCTCGGTCTAGATTTATCATAATAAAGTCTTGGAGAACCGGAAAGACAACAAAAAATAGATGTTGTGAATGAATTGTGAAAATTATCATGAAATTTTATAATATTTGATCTTAATAAATTGATGAGTCAAATAATAATAATTATAAAAAATATCCCATAGATAACCTAACCAACATATTTCTAAGGAGGCATTTGGTTCACGGAATGTAAGATTACCTTTGGAAATCACATTACTGAAATGTAACATTACTATGAGAATGTTGTATTACCTTATTTGGTTTGTTTAGCAAGAATGTAAGGTTACAGTGTTTGGTTAGAGGAATATAAGATTACTTGGATGCATATTTTACCAAATTATTATTGTGATACATGTTTTCTTAAATTAAACTTTAATATTAAATTATAAATATTTGAATGAAAATTCCTAAAAATATTTTAATAGTTATACTACCTAACTCTTGAGAAAAATACGTTTAATATATAATTACTATAAGGGTAAAGTATATAAATGGTCACTGAACTTTTCAAGCGCTTGCATTTAGGTCCCTCAACTTTTAAAACTTGCAACAAATTCATCAAACATTTAGTTCGTTTGCAATGTGGTCCCCGACGTAACCGATCGTTTCACTGCTGTTAGAAGAAGATGACGTGGCACGTGAGGAAACCATTTGCAACTAAATAAAACCTCAATTGAATCAGACTAAAAACAACAAACTCAATTTTGTTTCCCCAAATTGAAACCTTAAACCCTAAAAAACAAAATTCCTCTCATTCTATTTGTTTGGTC